TGGTCGAAGGCGGCATCTGGGGCAGGGGCTCCCCCATGGCGGGCGAGGGAGGGGCCCAGAGGCCTGGGCCAGGCCACGCAGCAGCAGCGGCTAGGAAGGCCCGGAGGCCCCGCTCGGCCGGCTCCACAAAGGCCGGGAAGACGGGCCGGGGTCTTTCCCGGGCCCCTCCCCTTCCCCTCCCCGCTTCTCTCGGCTGGCGGCGGGAAGAAGCGAGCGGAGGCCGCGGCGGCGGCGGCGATGGAACCTTCGCGGCTACAATGTATCCAGCCCCAAAAGGAAACACCCTGCCCCACGTGACGCGGGGCCGCCTGCTGGGAAAGCCCCGCCCCGGCGTTCTGACCACGCCCCCGTATGCAAAACGTGGGGGCGGAGGGGCGGGGCGCGAGGTTAGTGGGGGAAAAATATTACCAAAAGAAAAGAAAAAATAGCGCAGACGGCGGACTGGGGATCCCGGGTCCTACCGCCCGCCGGGTTTTCGGACAACACGAGAGATCCGAAAGCCCCACCCGCAGGAAGCGGCTCCGGAAAACAGCTTTGCAAGCCGGTTTTTAAGGGCGCTCGTGGGAACGCGGCTCCAGTGTTGCGTCCGCGCACCGGAGCTTGCGGGACACGAGCCCGCAAGGGGCCGAGCACCGAGTCGAAAGACTTTCCCAGTTTCGCGTACTGTGGGAAGGCGGCTTTTGAGAGTTGGTCGGCGGGTCGAGCATGGAATGCTTCGCCTTTCAACCCGTGTGTCCGTCCCTGGGCTTTTTTGGAGGTCTTTTAAGAAGGGTTCGACTTGAAGACCTCCAAGACTCCTTCCAGCTGTACTCTGATTGATTTTTAAGAAGAGACTGGACAGCCACTTGTTAATGGTATAGGATCTCCTGCTTGAGTAAGGGGGGTGGACTATTAGACCTCCAAGGTCCCTTCCAACTCTTTTCTGATTGATTGAACTGATTGATTGACAGCGAGGACAATTATTCAGTGAAACAATTTGCCTCCAGAAGTTGTGGGCGCTCCATCACTGGAGGCTTTTAAGAAGAGACTGGACAGCTACTTGTCTGGAATGGTATATAGGGTCTTCTGCCTGGGCAGGGGGCTGGACGAGAAGACCTCTAAGGTCCCTTCCAGCTCTATTTTGGTTGATTGAATTAGTCCCGCGAAGCAGCCTTTCTTCCAACCGATGAACGACTTTTTCATTTTTTTCATTCTGCAGTCAGACGAAGCGTCCTGTGCGACCTGCAAGCTTGCTGCGTTTTTTCGCCCCCAGATCCTCCGCTCCCACCCCCCTTGCAACTGCAAGGTCAGCCTTGCAACGTCTAGGATAGCTGCCTGCCCAGCCTCGCGGTTGACACCTACCCAGGAATATTGTCAATTACATTTCAATAGAATCAATTGTAATAGACCCACAAAGCACTTTGAACTACCCACATCCGGGGCTCACTGCCAGGGGACGGTCCCCAACTTCCGCTTCGCTTGCAGGCTCTTCCGGTCGAACTAGGCCGCTCCTCTCTATGGTACGCCCCTTATTCTACAACCGCGACGCCACGGTTAGGTTGGGCCTCCAGAAACCGGAAATCGGACTCCACGGATACTGGAAAGAGCGGTTCCGCTCCCGGGAAGTAGTTTCGGCAGATGCCGGAAGAGAAGGCCCCGGCAAACGGCGAGAGCCTAAGATGGCGGAGGTGGTGAGTGCGGAGCCGAGGGAAAGGTAGAAGAGCCGGAGGCGTCCCGAGGCCTCGACGGCCCACTTAATTTCTCCTCTTTTTTTTTTTTGCAGGAGGAAGTGACCGAAGGGTGTAACCTCCCCGTATTGCGCCGTAACCAAGAAAACGAGGACGAGTGGCGTGAGTAACGGGGGGGGCGGGTTTAAGGAGGGAGAGGCGGGGCTTGAGGAGGGAGAGGCGGGGTTTGAGGAAAGGTGGGCGGGGCCACGTGAAATGGTCAATGGAGCCTGCAAGTCCCATTCAGACTTTGGCGGAGGAAGAATTTAAAGGGGGGTACAGCCAAAAAAGTGGAGACTCCTCCCCAAGGAGGAGACTATCCCTAGAGGGGTCCCCAAGATCAGGACTGGGGTAAGAAAAAAAAGGCAGTGCAGTATAGTGATCAGAGCACCTGGATCTCTCTTGTTTAAATATATCTGCTGCAAAAATCCAGTGGGAATTGCAAAAGAAGAACAGAAGAGTTGGAAGGGACCCTGTAGGTCATCTAGTCCAACTCCCCCCCCCCCCCCAAGCACCAGACCCTACACCGCTTATTAACAGATTAACAGTTGCAAGGGATCCTGTAGGTCATCTAGTCCAACCCCCCAGCCCAACAGGAGACCCTACACCACTTATTAATAGTTGGAAGGGACCTTGTAGGTCATCTAGTCCAACAGGAGAACCTACACCGATTACTAATGGATGAACAGAGGGAAGGGACCCTGTAGGTCATCTAGTCCAACCCCCCAGCCCAACCGGAGACCCTACACCACTTATTAATAGTTAGAAGGGATCTTGTAGGTCATCTAATCCAACCCCGCCCAAGCAGGAGACCCTACCCCATTTCTGACAGACGGCAGTCCAGTCTCTTCTTGAAATCCTCCAGTGACCATTTTAAATCTGATTTTCCCTCTTAGCCTCGATTTTTCAGGCTTATCTCTCTAGTGCGTTATTCGGTTCTTAGTCAAGCCAAATTTACCTCTTTAAGCCTGACCTCTTCCTATCCTGGTGGAAAAAGTGTTTTCTGGGGTAAATCAGAGTTTTTGTAAGCCTTTAGAAAGGAGAAAACCGCCAGCTTTTGCTTTCTCCTGAAATAACCTGCTTCCCCCTTTTTCTTTTCACAGCGCTGGCTGAAATCCTGAGTGTCAAAGACATCAGTGGCCGAAAACTTTTCTATGTTCACTATATCGACTGTGAGTAAACAAATCAGAAGTGGAACCATTGGATGGTTGGGAAGGAAAAGAATATCCAGGGCTTATCTGGACGGAGATTATGAAAATTGGGGGCTGGTTGGGTGTGAGTGGAGGGCCTATCTGGACCTCGATGGAACTCAAGTCAAGATAATTTACGACTTACAGGTTGTCCTTGGCTTACAGGTGTTCATTTAGTGACCGAAGTTAACGGCAGTGAAAAAAGTGATGACCGTTTTTCAGACTTAACATTGCAGCATCCCCATGGCCACGGGATTAAAATTCAAGTGCTAGGCAACTGACTCATATTTGTGACAGTTGCGGTGTTATGTGAATCCCTGTTGCAACCTTCTAGCCAGTAAAGTGAGAGGGGAGTCCAGATTCACTTAACAAACAGGTTCCTCACTTAACAAACACAATGATTCACTTAACAAGTGTGGTGAGGCAAGTGTGAGGCAAAATTCACTGAACTGTCTCACTTAGCAACATAAATTTTAGGCTCAGTTGCAGTCATAAGTTGAGGACTACCTGGATAACCACAGGGGTTAGCAACACCCATTAAGACCTTTCAGTTCTGATGCCTACATCAGCCTTTCCCAGTGAGCCCTTTCCCCAGACATAGGAATGACTGTCCCACACATTTGGAGGGCTTGGGATGTGTATCCTGGATTCCTGCATCTTGGCCTGTCCTGACTGTGTGTGTGTGTGGTTAAGAAAATAAAACAATGAAGATTTAGGCATCTGTCAGCTACTATGAGAAGCGCAGGAAAGAGTGGAGAATGGGAGGATTTTCTGTTTATTGGATTGGATTGTTATTTTATTTTGTTTTTATTATTTTTTATTATATATATATATATTAATTTTTAAATATATATAAAAACTTACCATCTCCTAATCGGCCCAAAGTCACCCGGGACTAGAATTCACTGTCTCCTGGTGATTGGCCCAAAGTCACCCAGTTTGCTTTCATGCCTAAGGCAGGACTAGAATTCACTGTCTCCTGGTGATTGGCCCAAAGTCACCCAGCTGTCTTTCATGCCTAAGGCAGGATTAGAACTCCCAGTCCCCTGGTGATTGGTCCAGTCACTCACATTCCTACCTAACGCAGGACTAGATCTCACCGTCTCCTGGTTTCTAGCCTGGTGCCTTAACCCCTAAAGAACCCCCTCTCACTTAACGACCGTGTCCCTTTCCATAAAGAGAGGGGGGGGGGAAAAACCGTGCCTTGCCTTCCCCTTACAGTCAACAAGCGCCTGGACGAATGGGTCACCCACGACCGGCTGGACCTGAAGAAGATCCAGTTCCCCAAGAAGGAAGCCAAGACGCCCACCAAGAACGGGCTGCCAGGATCCCGGCCCAGCTCTCCGGAACGCGACGTGGTAGGAGGCGCGGGGCTTCGCGGGCGGGAGAGGCGTTCACACGGGAAGGGCACGTTTGGGAGGGGGGGACAGTCCTGCGGGAGGGGATGGGCGAGAAACTCCGTTCCTCTTGCCCAGCCTAGAACTCAACCCAGGTGTTCACGGAAGTGTCTACGAAGTAAGGACGGGGCGTTTGAGACAGTGGTGGGATCCGGCCGGTTTGCACCAGTTCGGGAGGACCGGTCGTTAACTTTCTCGGCCGTTTTAGCGGACTGGTTGGTTTGGAAGAAAATCATTCAGGGCAGAGAACCGGTTGTTAAAATTATTGGAATCTCACCACTGGGTTTGAGAGCATTGATGATGGTTCCCTTCTGCTTCTTCCCCAGTGAGATCTGCAGCTGCCTGCAGCTTGGCCTGGAGACGGGGGGAGGGGGGGTGTCTCCCCATACGTCTGCCCCCACTCCCCCTGCACCCACCCCGAGCAGGACTGGCGTCCTTTCACCCCCCCCC